GGGAGGGGAAGGAAGAGGTGGGGAGGGGAGGGGAGGGGAAGGGAGGGAAAAAGAGGGGAGCAGAAGGGAGGAGAAGGGAGAGGAGGGTAGGGGAGGGGAAGGCAGGGGAGGGGAGGGTGTGTTTGATGTTTTCGGGGAAAACACACAAGGTTTGGTGCAGTCATTTATTTTTCTTTTCTCTTTTTAAAATGTTATATTTTAAAGAAACAATTCCCTTAAACAACTTTAAAGAAATTTAAAGAAAAATTCAGCCAATTTCCCTCTCCAAGGGCATTTGAAAAGCAATTTCCCACACAAATAAAGACAGGCATGGAGTGATAAAGCCACAATGAACCACAAACCATTAGCCCAGGTCTCTGTTCTGCAAAGTCACATCTACTCTGTGGAAGAGTTGGGTCAGGTGATCTGAGGCTGTCACCTAACAACATCCCAACACACATTCTGAGCCTCATTCACACTCCCCCACACACCCGCAGCACTTTCGCTTCTTACAGTGCAAGGGGGCTGGAGAGACAATTTAGCAGGATGCTTTCCCAGCATCAGTTGGATCTCCAGCATTCCACAATGGCGCACACCTTTAATTCCAGCACTCAGGAAGTGGAAACAGGGCCATCAGAATTTCAAGGTCCTCCTAAGCTACACAGCATCTCAGGAGTTTGAGGCTAGCCTGTGCTACATGCGATCCTCGCAAGGAAAACAAATGGTCCTACAGAGAAAAATGTTTTTGGAAGGAAGTAAGGTAGGCTTGGTTACAGAAGTCAAGTACAACAACAGCGTTTATTTAGCCTTACTCACTATGCAGACCGTCCATTCTAAGAGCAAAAACAGCCTTTGTGGTATGTAGAAATGTACATTTAGTTTGTGACCTCATGCTTCCTTACCCAGGTGTCTGCTCCTCACCAGTGTTTCTCAAGGGGAAGATGTAAACATGCCCTCCTTACAGTGCAAAGGCAGTTCAAACACAGACCATACCTTGGAGGTGTCATCGCCTTCGTCTTCATGCACTGAGCTAGAAGGCGAAGGCGTTGCTGACTTGCTCCCAGGGGGAGAAGGGGAGTTGTGGGGAACGTTGCTGCCTCCCATGTTCAAACCCAACTGTGCACTCAGCTGGGACTGGTTGATGGTGGTCAGCTGACCGTGCTGCATCATGCTTGCCTGCTGTCGGATGTCTGGGGGCTGGCCTCTCGGCCTCATGGCTGCCATTTGAGGATGGGAGCCATACTGAGCTCCTTCGGTAGTCCCGATATCTTGCATCTAAAATAAATGAACAAATAGACACATTTTCAGAAACATGCTTCTTGAAAGGTTCTTTTATTTTTAAATTTTGACTTTTTGACAACGGCTCTCCCTACGTAAGCCCAGGCTGGCTTGGAATTCATGATCTTCCTTCTTCAGCCTCTTGTGTGCTGTGCACACTATCATGCCCAGCTAAAAATTTTTTTCTTTAATCTGTAGATGGAAAGATGCCCTATTAAGCTGTACACACAGTAGTTTTCTCTGTAGTATAATAATTCCAATACATACATTACCCCCTAAAGAATAGCAAAAGGTAGAGGTTGGATATAGCTTAGTGGTAGAGGTCGTGACTGGCATGGGACAGGCCCTGGGTTTTAATCACATTACCACAACCAACCAGCCAAAACCAGAATTTCATAATTTGGTCAACATCACATTTCATTGTTCTTATATTTTATTTCTGATAAGTAGACATCTAATTAATTTATAGTTACACACTGTATATATTTATGTGATGAAAATGTCAACATGCTGGTACTTGTTAGAGTGCCATCCAAATTACAAAATCATTAGTGATTTTAGCATCACAGGCATCTATTAAACCATGCATTTTAATTCTGATCATTTAAGGAAGTTTTAGGAGACAATAAGGGAATGAATGTTCTCCGTTTAAATATTTTTTATATTTTTGAGGGTTTCATACATGAGTACATTGTACTTGCATCATTTCTATTCCTCCTTCTCCCAACTCTTCTCATATCCCCATTCTGTATTTATTATATATAATATATACATATATAAACATACACATATGTATATTTATATATAATATAAATGTATATAAACATACACATATATAAATGTATATGTTTGTAAAACCTGCTTAGTCCATTTAGCATTGTTTTTATATGTTTAGGGCTGAGCAGTGGGGATCAGATAACCTGTCAGTGTGGTTATCACTTGGGAAAACTGATCCTTCTTCCCTCAGCAGCCATTGACTACCCACAGCTCCTAATCTAGGGTTGGGGCTTGTGGAGTTTCCTTCATTGTTAGCATGCTGACTGCTGTGACCATCATTCAAGTCTTGCTTAGGCAACTATAATTTTGAGATTTCAGGGGTGCAGCATCCATGTCATGTCAACAAGACACTCTCTTCCTGCAGGTGCCCTGGTTCATTTTAATCCTTTATTGAGTCGCGAGAATGCTCTCCTAACTACTGTTCTCAGAATGCTTATAGACAGTGTTAACCAGTTGATTGACTATTGCAGTGACTTGGCTGCACAGACAGATTTGAAAGCAAGGCTCTAAAACTGCAAGGTCTCCATATTAATCCATTATCTGGGTCACTGCTTTTCAGCCTTAACGAGACTCACTCTTGTAATTCAGGCAATGACTTTCGTCTCAGCAGGATTAAAATTAAACGCATTGGGGGATGAAGTGCTTATCATTATCTGGAGGTCAAATGCATTGTGTAAGAGTATGGTGGATTTCACCGAACATTTCTCCATCAGTTCCAAACCTAAGGCAAAAGGTCCTGGTCTTATTGGTGTAACTTGTTTAGTTTCCTGTTAGAGGGCTTGTTAAAAAGTGCTCAAGACAAGAGAACAAGAGAGAAGAAGATGGACAAATGTGCAGTGAAGGACTTGACAGCTAAAAGTACACATGGAACTGAAAAATCTAATTAATGCTATCTGTTGTTGCATAACAAAAATATTCCACATAGACAAGATGCTTAGTAATTACCCATCTGAAATGTCATTACAACCTGGAAAAACATGTGAGGGCAGGCTAAGGAACCTGGTCCTGGCCTTTGTTTTTGTTTCTTTTGTATAGCAGTGGAATTATTTCCCATCAGTGTACACAAGCCATCTCACAACACTGGCTAGATCCCGATGAACAGAGAATGCAACTGTGCAGGTCCGGAGCCTCTGGTCTTGCTTCCTGGCAGGCTCTCATTGGGCCACTTCATCATGGAGGCTATTTTCCAGCTCTTGGGCAGGCCCCACTCCCAAAATTGCTGCACTTTGGCTTCCTGTTGGTGAAACTTAGGTCCATTCACTCCACAAGTTTCCCAACTTCCTAGTTCAACCAACATTTTTTAAAAAATAAACTGTATTGCTCTAATTCTTTAATGGTAATTCTTATAATTCATGAAGCACTTCCACAGTTATAGGAGAGATGCAGCATTCACAGATACTTTGCCATTTTCAGAGGGTGCCGTGAAAATCAGAATGGGCTTTTAGAAGAAAAGGGGACTTAAACTATGGTTTCTAAGGCTTGCTCTCAAGTGTATTGAACGTCTATGCATCTTAGCATTTAGAAGAGCATGGACAAGCATGGGCATGGAAAAGTGGCTGCCTGTGAATGAACTCTGCCCTATTGCACAGCCCACTCTCCGACACTGCATCAGGTAAAGTACTCGGGTACACATTCAGACTTGCGTATCTAGAGAACACGTTTCTTAGCTCAGCAAATTAGAAGTATTTGCCAGCAGAGTCAGACTTGACCTAATCATTTCTCTAACAATATGGAACAATTTGATACCTTGATTTCTTCTTCCCATGCATCTCAGGTTTCAAAGCACACATCTGTGTGGCATGTTTTGAGCCCATTTTAACTCATCTACACAGAAATCTGGTAGTTTTAACCTGGTGTTACAGGATTATGATTTCCAAATTGATTTTCATACAGAGCCTCTGGATTTGTGGCAATGAAGTGCTCCTTAAGAGGCTTAATCTCCCTTATCGGCACCAATATCTTCTACTGTTTTTCAAAAGACTTGTTTCCCCCCGTCATGTTAATTTGTGTTAGTGTAGGTCTATATTCCTGACCCTTCATTAAAGAGGAAGTAGCCTTGGCCACGGTGGAGCAAAGGATCATTGGGTAAGGATGGTGAGGTAGAAGGCCAAGCAGTGGCCTTTCTCTGAAGTTCATTGTGTTCCCAGTGATGCAGGTCAGGCAGACAGCAGTTTTGTTGTTGCCCCTGGAGACAGTTGTCCCATGTAGAGGGTGACAAGCATGGCAAGAGACAATCCTCAACCCTGCAGGTCCCACATGCTCATAACAGTTGAATCCTAGCGCCACTCTGACATTCCTGATCTACAGAAGTGCATGAGTGTTACCTTGCTCTCATGGGAGCCAGTGTGAATTACTAATGGTTAGTATGGGCAGGTTACAGTGAATGGATTCTAGTTATTGAAAATAATAATTAGTAAACTCACACAAGTTAGCAAATGTTTTCTTTTATTACCAGTTTCCTCCTGAAAGGCACTGGTTGGTTGTTACTCCTTAATGTCAAATACAGAATTTGAGCTAGCCAGTTGCAGTTTTTTGTTATTCACCATATTTTAAGTTCATCGTGAATAATGGAGTATAGTCACACTTAGTAGTGACAATTTTTTCTCTGTCCTATTCTTGTTCCTGCTGGTGAAAGTGTTGGATGATGAGTTGGAGAAAACGTCGGAGCCAATGGGCAGTGCTCCGAGGTGGCTGGAGAGCAGGAGCGAGAGGGGCTCCAGTCTTTGATTCAGTGTAACTCCCTAGCACCGGGGTCTTCAATGTGGTCATCTCTGCTAAATTTTCATTACTAGGACTATCTTTTGTATGCTGCTAAACGTAATTTTAACTGATACACCCTAACTGGTTATAGACTAAAGAATTCATTTTCTTCACCCTTGTGAAGAATCCAGCACAGATCTTGTCATGATAGCAGGTATTCATCTCGTTTCCTGAACTGGAATGAGGAGATGCTGTGGGTAGGTACTATGGCACTAACGACACTGGCTCCATAGACATGGCCCAGCACTTCCTCATCACTTGGGAATTTCATTTGCTAAGCCCTAGTGCCCAAACTCACTAGAGGCAATGTCTAATGTGTACAGTTCTCACTTTCTCCTTTTTAAAGATTAGTAAGCCTTATTTTTTCTTGGCTAAAAGCATTACATATTGTTGGTATTTTAACTTCCTGTTTATCTCATCATTTGGGAAATATACTTCATCTGAGAATAGGCTAGATTTCATTCTTTTGCAAACCTGATCTGTTTCTTTAAATTTTCCTAGCTGCTGTTGTACAACAATCTTTTCCATACTTATGGGAGTAAAAATGCCAGTTAAAGTAATGGAGGTAGAAATACTATAACGATGAAGAGGAATTTCATGTGCTTTCCTTCAAAGCCTTTTCCCAATTAATGGAAATCCAAAGTTCCATTATGATCAATTAGGAAAGCAAAGTAGATACTATCCATCCCTTCTGCCTGATGCCCTGCTCTGTGATCGACCTCCTGACTTGCATGGCACATTCCTTCTCCTATGCTAGAAGAGTTCAGACTGAAGATAGTGTTCAACTGGGAAACATCAGGTACAAAATTGGACACACATTTCAACATGTGTGTATCTTTTGATTTTCTTTGAAAATGGAAAGAAAAACACAGGTCCATGTTGCCCACCTAAGACTATAGTTTTAAAACATTATTTTGTGTGACTGGAATACCTCTACTCCCAGGAAACCCTTGTAATAGTGTTAGCTATATATAGTGACTAATGGTGTTGAATTGCATTCTAGAATGACACAGAACATTGGTGTTCAAAGCTATGTATGTATCACAATTCTTCTGTCTGCTGATTCTTTGAACATCAGGATCCTTCCTGGTCCAATGAGGGAGCCTGGAAAGCTATCATTATCTCTGCCTCTAGCAGACGATCTATAGTGAAACAATTGTACATATAAAACTCTAAGGACACCTTGTCTCTCTTTGCTCAGATCCAGCTGTTTAAGTGAACAGCAGTTGGTGAGCAGAGCTCAGGAGCAGGGCTTGCCCTGAGGCCCTGTCTGCTAATATGGCTCACCAGCTGCTGCATTCTGTGGTCTATGCAAGCAACTCCTGGATTTGTGCCAGATCCAGCAGCAGCAAGAGAACATGAAGAATCTCTGAAGCTCTTATGCTCACCCCTGTCTGTCAACATTTGACACCCTTCGCTGTGGAGTGCTTTCCCCAGGGCCATGAAAGACCCTCGTGGCT